GGAGCCTCGTGCCCTCGCCCAAGTGCTCGGCTACGTGCCAGGTGACAGAACTGTCCTGCGAGAACGCTGCTGACAGTAGTCCACTTCTTTACTGCCCTGGCCGGTCTGGCTCAGTGGATAGAGCGTCGGCCCAGAGAGAAGGGTCCCAGGCTCGATTCCAGTCAAAGGCACATACCTCCATTGCAGGCTCCATCCCTGGCCCTGGTTAGGGAGCGTGGGGGCGGGGGGTTAACCAATGGATGTGTCTCTCTCACTTTGATGTTTTCCTCTCTGTGTGTCCCTCCCGCTCTCTTCCACTCTCTCTATAAACCGATGGGAAAATACCCTGGAGTGAGGATTAGCAACAACGACAGGAAAGGACTGGGGGAGTAAGAGGGTTGTGGGGAGAAGGAAGAACACATGTCGACAGTCAGTTTCAGGTGAGCAGTAACCAGCCCCGGGAAGTGAGCAGGGAGATGCCTGCAGACGCGGCTCCCGCACCCCTGGACGCTCCCGCCGGCGGCCTGCCTGTCGGGGCTGCTCTTAAAATAAAAGCAGCAGCCTGGCCGGCGCTGCAAATCACCCCAGTCTCCCCGGAATTGGGAGGAAACTTAGAGGCCACCATATCCACCCTCTCGTCTTACAGATAAGAAACCGAATGAAGCCTGGGCGATAGCGGACTCTCCCCAGCATCCCAGAGCCACGCGAGCGAGAAAGCGTTTTTCTGGTTCGTGCTCAGGACTCCTCGTACCCACAGCCAGGCGGTGCCCAGAGAGCGGGGAACAGAGGGACCAGGAGGGACGGCCCGAGGCTTCCGGCTGCCCCGTCAGCGGGCGGAGTTGGCATCTCAGTCCTCGTTCCCAGGCTGCGTCCGCCCATCACCTGGTCACCGTGCTCAGCCGGCACCTGCCACGGCTGAGTCTCCCCAGCACACGGCGGGGCTTCACCCCGCGGCTGTGGCCCCCAGGGCAGTGGGGTGTCTAGGAGCCCAGCCTCCCTCGTCAGGGTCTTCAGGGGGCGCTGGCCCTCCCCAAGGACGCCGGGCAGTGACGCCTCTGTCCCTGCCTCTCCCCCAGCATCTTCCTACCTGGCCATCCCTCGTCCCTAAAAAGCTATTCGAGGTCGCAGATGTGGTTGAAGTCCGGATGGCTTGTCTTCCAAGATTCTGCCCCAGCCCAGCATGTTACAGAAAAGTCTAGAAATGGTCACATCCAAACTCGGTCGCATGCATGTTACCTTTCAGTGCTCACTGGGGGCGAGACGTCTCATCCAAATGAGCTTTGGAAAGTTTCACCTAGTTACGGGGGAAGCTGTACTACACGCAGGGCTCCTGATTGGTTTGCCTCCTTGATAGGGGAGTAACTGGGCTGGTAAAAGCGATTATCATCAGCCTCCCATTCACTCTAGAATGTCCTTTCATCCAAAAAAGGTACATTTCAACAGCCTTTTCATATAATTTTTTCTGGAAATATCCTCTCTGGGTATTCTTTTTGTTATAACACCTGCACAGCCCTGGAATCGCAGCCACACACTGCGGTTCCGAGATCCTGCCGTCAGCTACGAAAATAAAACCCAAGAGGGAACAGCCCATCGGTACCAGGTCCACTCTCTCCATCCGATCAGCTCCCAAGCTGCCGAGAATCCCCCCGCGCCCCCTCCCCCCCGCCAGGCCGCAGACAGCGGGGCCCGGGGCCAGGACAGCGTCAGCACCCCATCACACGGAGCAATCCAAGTACTTACGGCATAAGCACCTATCAAAAATGCTGCGTTTGCTCTTTTCCGCTGGTCGAAGCAGGTGTAATGCACTATTTTCTTTCTTGATAAACTGTATGACTGGAGAGAGAGTGAAAGAGAGTTAGGGTGGCCGCAGCCACAGGTGGACAGATGCGAGACACACCCTCTCTTTCCTCTCCGCCACGGGCCCTGGGAACCGGCACCCCCTGGGTTTCTATGGCGTTTGGACGTGAGTGTCGGGAGTGGAGGGTTCCCAGCTCAGGCTCTCTGCAGCTCATCACGATGGAAGAACTGGCACTGGACCACGTATGTGTCTCCCCAAGAAAGGAGACGCATACATTGGAAATAACTGAGTCACTAATTAGCATCTTTATCGGAGAAACCATTTCTGAAGATTTACTCGGATCTTCCATGTAAAGTCCTTTTTCACGGCCCCCCCCCCCCCCCTATGCCTCCTGCATGCCCTGCCCCCCCCCCCCCACACACACACACACACGCCCGGAACAACGGTCTATGCCGTGCACATTAGATAGTTGGTTTTGACACATGCCCACTAGTCCATTTCCCTGTTTAACATGTGTACGTGCCCACGTTAACGAGAGCACCGCACTCATGCCTTCCTTCTTAAAAGCGTGTCCTATACAAAGCCCCTCTCCATGATCTGGAAATAAATGGTCAATAGAAAAAGATGAACCATCAACAGGATTCTCTCAGCAAACATCTTAACACAACAGCCGTGTATTACATTCCCGGGTTCAAACAGGTATTGAGCACCTGCTGTATGCCAGGCAATATGCTGCGTGCTCAAGCATTCAGCTAAACCCAGAATAAGCAACATGGTGTGTGTGCACATGCCAAACAGGAAAAGAACTGTGCAAATAAGAAGGCCTGTTAAAACGAAATCAAAGCATTAATCAGAACTCAAACATAAAACGTGGAGCTCAATAACATCCTCTCAATTTCCTCATATTTCCAACATTATAGTACTTTTTGGTGTTGTTAGTGCTCACCAGAGGATATTTTTTCCATTGTTTTTTTCAGGAGAGTGGAAGGGGGAGGAAGGGAGAGAAAGAGAGAGACATCGATACGTGAAAGACACATCCACTGGTGGCCTCCCGTACACACCCCAACCAGGGGTGAGGAGCGAACCCACAACCCAGGTCTGTGCCCTTGACCAGGAATCAAACCCAAGACCCTTCAGAGCGAGGGGCAACGCTCTAAACACTGAGCACACCAGCCACGACCCAAAGTTATAGTATTTTGACGAACGGTTTTCATAGTACAGACACGTAAGTAACAATACTTATCCATAAACTCACACTGATGGTAAAACAGCTTGCGATACCTTGCACACTGACCACCGCACACAGAATATCTGCGCTTAGAGACCCCTTGGGATGGAACGGAGCTCAGCGACCCGCCTGCCTTTACCCCCCAGCACGTCAAACCCACGGCCACGGCGGCATGCCTCGCTTATTTGGCCCGTGTGCACCTTTGAGTCTGACATGCTTGCTTTACCCTCATGTCCTCCCAGGAGGAGAAACCCGTCCAACTCAGAAGTCATCCAAGAAGGCCCTGTACATTCTGGCTTTCACCCGGGACCCGGGGAGCCCAGTCCAGAGCCCTCCCGCCCGGGCCGGGCGTGTCTTTGATAACCAAGCCCCACGTGTTCCGAACACGGCACTGTCCTTAGCAACTTTCAAATATACGATACAGTATTATTAACTATAGTCACCAACTGACCTGACAGTAACTGACCTGTTTAATAAGTTTCCTATCTGACTCTTAGGAATAGTTTTAAAACTGCTAGCATTTACCTTGCTTGGGCGTTTTTGGAATTCAGGTGTTTTTCTCAGTTAATCTCAAAAGCACTCCAGTTGAGAAATACCTGCTCTGTGAAGCCAGGCCAGTGTCTCCCAGGTCAGACCCGTTCCTACCTGAGGAATGCAAACCAACTCCCGGTGAACGGTAACGGGGGAACGGTGTGAGCTGCCTAACTTCCCCCCCTGCCCCAGCCAGGCCTCCCTCTGCTGGGTCGCCCTGCCCCAGCCTTACACCAGCAACACCGATCAGCAGAAGACCATCTGGCACTAGAAGGACAATGTGCAGGCATAACAGAGCTTCTTTTATCACAAAACATTTTGCCAGTTGCAGGTTCAATCCCGGGTTGGGCACGTACAGGACGCAACTGATCAGTGTTTCTCTCTCACATCAATGTTTCTCCCAAACAAACAAATAAACTGCTGATGTTGAGCATAAATTCAAATTTTTAAATAGCACTCACGCCCCCAGAACAGGTCTGTGGACTGCACGCAGCCTGGGCGCCCGTTTGCTGAGGCTGGCGGGTTCCGGGGGCGGAGGGGGTGGTGTCTGCTCCACCAGCAAGAGCGGAGCCCGGGTTGTGTGACGCACAGGCTGAGAGCGATAGCGAGGGGACGCCAGGCACTAGCTCCACAGCGCCCGGTCTGACGGATACCCGACGCTCAGCAAGGGGGCATGCTGGCCGAGGCTGCCACAAACGGACCGGCAAGGGCCAGTGCTGACCTCATGACCGGTACGGTCACGTTCCACAAGGGAAAAAGCCCTGGCCGGTCTGGCTTAGCGGATAGAGCCTCGGCCTGCAGACTGAAGGGTCCTGGGTTCGATTCTGGTCAAGGGCACAGGCCCGGGTTGTGGGCTCGATCCCCGGTAGGGGGCGTGCAGGAGGCAGCCAATCTATGATTCTCTCTCATCATTGATGTTTCCATCTCTCTCTCCCCTTCTCCCTTCCTCTCTGAAATCCATAAAAATATATATTTTCTAAAAGGGTAAAGAAAGAGTAGATAAAAGGTGGGATGTGGTATTGCCTATCTATCAATTCACATCCTGAAACCTCCGGACATCCCCTCACCTGCACTGCTTCCCTGAGCGAGAGGCAGAGCTTCAGCGCGCTCCTGGGAACGGACAGGCGTAACGACGCGCATACACGCTTAATGGCACTTGTAAACCAAAGTCCCATGAGGGCGAGGACAGAACAGCACAAATCAAGGTGGAGGCCTCGACCCCGACAGGCACTTCCTGTCGCGGGAAGGAGAGCCTGTGACCGGCTGACAGGCCGTCCTAGTGGAGTCACTCCTGGTGGAAAACCAGCCCCGGCGACTCCGCGACAGAGGGCAAGGCGGGCCACAGGCCGCTCGATCGCACACGGCCCGGCCGTCCTGGGCGCTGTGACATGCACACACCATGCTTGGCTCAGGACAGGAGGTCACAGACCATGAGCCGTCAAAGCCTAAAGGTGAGGGAGGCGGGAAGCTAGGAGCCAAAACGCAAGAACAAACAACTGAGAGAAGCGGTGTCTTCCCTCGGGGAAGGCGCTTGCATGCGGGAAAGTGAAGGCTTCTGGTCGCTGGGTGAGGACACCGTGTTTCCTTACGCTGCGCCTCAGCCCGGCTGCGCTGCGGAGACACGAGCACGGCCTGGGGCATCTGCTCACAAACCAAAACGCAGCCCATGCAGCCCACACGAGCGAGCTCAGCCGGAGACGGGGTCAGGTTCAGTGGTGACGGCCCAGGGCCCGGTGGCCGAGGCGCCATTCTCTTCCAGGTGACCAGGCTAGCCCAGCCACGGCCGCAGCCATCCGCGTCCCCATAGCAACAGCGGTCATCGCTCTGCAAAAGCCATCAAATGTGCTAACGGGTGCCCCTGTGCGCAGCCAGGGCCTCTACACGGTTTACCTCCAACCTGCCCAGGAAAGGGACGTTCTTGAACATTTTCTTTGGCTGCACACAAAACAAAGCACGGTTTACGTCTTCGCGCGGCGCTCCCATGAAACGGGGAATGGTTTCAGCAAAATGGAGAGGGTGGCCCATTTCGTTCCACACCCACTCCGTTAACGTCTGAGTCAAAAGATCAGAGAACAGCGGCTCACGGACATCCTGTGAGCAGGCTGCTCCTACGGCCCACAGCACGTGGGGATGCTCTATAAAGGGGGTTCCTCTCGCTCGGCCGGCGTGGCTCAGTGGTTGAGCGTCAGCCTATGAACCAGGAGGTCACGGCTTGATTCCTGGTCAGGGCACAGGCCTGGGTGAGTTGCAGGCTCGATCCCCAGTGTGGGGTGTGCAGGAGGCAGCTGATGGATTATTCTCTCCCATCATTGATGTTTCTCTCTCTCCCTCTTCTCCCTTCCTCTCTGAAATCAATAACAATACTTTCATTTTAAGGGGGGTTCCTCCTGCTGGGGATTTCTGAACGGCCATAAGGGTCCCAAGTCTTGCAAACTCCATGGGAGCTCCCTACCACGTGAATTCATGCTGCCTCGAACCCCTGACACCTCTATACTCCACAGGAACTGCCTCCAGAAGGTAGCTCACTTCCCCTCCCCCCGCCCCCAAAGCCCATGACCTGAGGCAGAAGATAACCTGGTGAAGAAATCTCAACATGTTTTCTGTGGTTGTACTGAGAGGGTGGTCTGATCCTTATATCAAAAGGGCTTTTGTGTGCAAGCACCCGATACGGGGGCGGGGCCGGCTCCCAGCTAGGATTACGGCGCTGATTCACTCAGCATCGGGGACATGCGCCGGGCCGCCATCTGCCAGGTAGCTCTGTGCTTCAGCACAATCGCCCGTTTCACCGGCCCGCCCCTCCCCATTCCACCCCGAGAGGGCTCCTGAGCTCTTTTGTACATTTCCCATTACATTTCTGTCAATATGCTCTCAGACCTTCAAAAGCAGTCCCCAGGAGCATTGTAATTGGCCCGTGGGGTCATCAGACCAGGTCTTTGGTGTGTTTTTTAAATCACTGCCCTAGAATGCCCCCTTTTTTCAGTAATGCTCTTAGATTTCCCCTCCACCCCGGCTAGGGTTTTCTTTTTCTCCGGGGAAAAGTGAAATCAATAGTTAAAACTGTATTAACTATTTTAGAAAAAGCTGGTTGAGCCATATCATGTTTATAAAACTTTCAGATTATTGAATCGGTAACAAAGATTTTCTTAAATGACTAAGTTTGAAGGAGGTATTCTGTTTTTTAAAATACCACTTCTGCCTGGCTGGTGTGGCTCAGGGGTTGAGCACTGACCTATGAACCAGGGGGTCATGGTTCAATTCCCAGGTTGTGGGCTTGATCCCCAGTGTGGGGCGTGCAGGAAGCAGGCAGTCAATGATTCTCTCTCATCATTCATGGTTCACTCTCTCTCTCCCTCTCCTTTCCTCTCTGACATCAATAAAAATATATTAAAAATATAGATCAATATTGACTATGTGACCCAAATTCCGTGATGACTGCCAGTTCATCACTCTTACTTGGCAGGAAAAACTGAACTCCTGGTCGGACAGGAAAACGTAGGCTCCAGAGCTCTGCCGGGCAGCGCTGAGCCCCTCCACCCGCCCCCGGGCACCCAGGGTAGCGCAGACTCAAGGCTCGGAGCATCCACCCGGGAGCGAACCGGATGGGCTCAGAACGACACCGAAAGGCTGGGTGCTTCCTTTCTCAGATCCCTGCCCAGTGACTTCCTTCAGCTCCGGTGCCAATTCATCCTGACACAGGAAAGAGGTCGGCACGCCCTTCGGGGGGGACCCATTTCAACTTCTGTGGGAGCTTCTCCCATGAACTCCCAAAGACCAAGATTACCACCCGACTGGTGCGCGCCGCACTCCTGTCGGTCCGAGCTCACCGTTCAGGGTGTTGAGACCAGAAGAGAGACAGCACCACGATACTCACTTTCAGTTTCTTGTTCAGCTTACAGCAGTATCTGTACACCATTGCCAAGTTCAGAGGTCCGAAATCTGCATAGAAACTGGGATTAAGACAAAAATGGGAGTTAATACACATGTGATTGCTCATTTTCTTTTCATTAAAGCTGCAATCGAATTTCAGTTATCTTCAGGAACAGGGTCAGTTTATAACAGATTCACAGAGATCCAAAGGACTAGCGGTCCCACCACACAGGCACTCGGGACTACAGCCAGCGGCTCGTTAGGGAGCCAACCAGACAGCTCGGCGTCCCCCTCCCTTTCTCTCTCTAACCTGCCAGGAACTTCACCTGCCAGGCAATGAACCCACAAACACAACACGCCTGTGGCCTCCACTTGCCACCGGGTGTATTTCTTTATCACCTACTGAGTCACAAAGCTCGTGGGCTCTGGGTTCCAATTCCAAATACTCCACGCAAACCTCGCTCTCCATGCACCCGTGGCCTCTGTTCATTCTCCCCGGCCTCTGAAATGTGTGACTCACCAGCTCATCTCCCTCTCTCCACCCCCTGACATCTCCAGGACACGGTCATCAGTCTGCAATCACCCATCACCCCGAGGAAAACAGCTCCTAACCTGACGCCAGCACCCGCCTTTTCCATCTTCGACTCCCTGCTCAGCCTCGCACCCACAGGTGCTCCCACCACCTGTGTGAGCAGCACCAAGAGCTAGTAGCCCGGCCAGCACGGCTCAGCGGTTGAGCCTATGAACCAGGAGGTCCCAGTTCAATTCCCCGTCAGTTCACACACTTGGGTTTCAGGCTCCATCCCATTAGGGGGCATGCAGGCGGCAGCCAATTGATGATTTTCTTTCATCATTGATGTTTTTCTCTCTTTCTCTCCTTCCTGCCTCTCTGAAATCAATTTAAAAATATATATTTTTTAAAGCTAGCTAATATTAATAATAGGAAGAGGGCAAAGGGGAGGCCAGACATGATCCGCATGGCCATCTGGGCAGCTTCACCAGGAAGCTGCAACGTCACACTCCCCAGGGAGCCACGGGTCCACTCCCCACAGATCACTGGGCAAGGGGTCCAGCAAAGGGGTGGGCGGGCACATGCGCAGTGAAGTCAGGGTGACACAGGGGAGGTGCTTGTCTGTCAGTCTAACCTGGGAACAAAGATCATTGGCTGGAGGGGCAGAGGCCCTGCAAGCACGTGAAATCCTGAAATGGTCATTGGTTACGCTCCTAATTATAACCCCAAGACGGAGAGTTCTCCCTTCTGCTCCTACTGCTCACTTCCCTTCCACGTGAATGAACGAGTGAGCAGACGGCCCTTACCTGGCTGATGTTGTGTTGTTGTTTTTCACAAACTCTAGTCTAAATGGTTCCATTCCCGGAGGAATCATTGCTTAGAGCACGGTGGTACCTTATTTCCCATCCCAGAAGTTTCGTCTGAAAATGTTCAACTCCTCGGCCAAAAGATGAGCTACATTCCAAACAACGCTCATTCATTCAACAAAATGTATACCCACCAATGGAGCAAGGCAGTGCCAGTTAGCATATTTTTTATTGAATTTACTGGGGTGACATTGGTTAATAGAAGTGTACCGGTTTCAAGGGCCAGTTAACATATTAATCCAAGAGTGTTGACAATACAAAAAAAATTTAGCTGCTTTATAAATAGATGAAAAACAAGGCACGCCAGCTCTCCAGTGTCTTCCCAGCCCCGCTGACATCTGTCTGCTCGCTCACTCGCTCACTCGCTCACTCACACACTCATGCAGGGTCTTTACCGAAAGCCAGCTGACCGCCCTTCCCTTACCCACAGGCGCTCACCACCCAAGGACAGGACAAGCCAGTGTATCATTCCAGTGTGACAACGACTGAGCCGCAGTGGCCTCCGACGCAGAGGGGCGTGACACCCGTGTGGGCGCGTGTACATAGAAATCGTGGCTGACATTCACCCGCCCGGCCCTCTGGGCCACACACACCGCCCAGTAGCCTCCCTATCACCAGGCGATTATCAGCATCCCTCCGGTCAGACAATAAAGCTCCTATACCTGGCTGAGACTCCGAACAGTCAGGTTTCAAAAAAGCCGAAATTGCTCAACAAACACTGACCTAAGGTCAAAGCACCGTCCGAGTTTTTGCCGGAGCCCTCCCGCTGCAATAAGCTGCAGTCACACGGACGCTGGCCCCCGGGGAAGAGACTGCACGTCCAAGAAGCGCCCGGCCCCACGTCCGTGACAGAGAACCCGGAGGGAAACTGGGAAGCAAGGGGTCTGGTCCCCCCTGGGTGCCTCGTGTCCCTGGGCTGGTGTCTCTGCCTGTTGGGCCTCCACATCCTTACCTACCAAATGAGCTGCTGAATTCACGGCTTCTGAAGTTCTTTCCTGATATTAGGTGGTCTTACCCGCACGATTTCTATTCTATCGCGTCACAGTCATTCTGGCCGCTGTATGTATTTCAGACTATTATGTATGATCGTATTTAATTTACACATCACATGGTAGGTGAAAAGGAGGTTCTATGGAAAGTAGTCTCTGAGCTGATCTGATCATAAATTCCTACCTGGGCAGGTCCTGGAGGGTAGTCACGCCCCAGACACGGAACATTTTTAGTAAAAGGTTTCTCTTTGCCTCGAGCAAGCCCTGTCCCTTGTTCTTGTGCCTCTAGGCCAACATGCCTTTGAAGTAAATGAAAAACCACCGTCCAGAGAGCACAGAGGTGACTGTAACTGTCCTGGAATTCCAGCCCGCCTCGCTTTCTCCCACTCTCCTGGGACCTGCCTCCCTTCTCTCCGTAACTCCAAACGCACAGCTGTCTTTCCCTGCAGCATTTTAGACCTGCTTCCCGCACTGTCATCCATGTGGCTCCAGGACATTCTTGTAAAAATCCTCTCCAGGCCGGGACGTTTCGTGACCCGGGGCAAGCAGCGGGGCCACCTCAGGCTTCCGCTGCGGCTTCTGCACAATGGTTTGGCCTTCAAAGCCAAGCAGCCGGTCCGATGGTATCCAGGGACCTCCCGGCATCAGGGCCTGCGATTCTGTGACCTCCTCCTGGGAGCAAGTCAATTCATGACAACCCGCTTGGAAGCCGAGACAGTGAAAACAAGACTCCAGGAATGCACTGGGGAGGCTCCATTCCCTCCCACGGAACATTCTCGGGCGGTCTGGGTTAACGCCTCCGTCAACCGCAGGATGGAAGGCGAGTGGGCCACGCAGACGGTAGACGAGTGGCTTTGGTACAAACCAGATTGATGAGCTGGGCTGATGTGGCTCAGTGGGTGAGTGTCGACCTATGAACTAGGAGGTTAGGGATCAATTCCCGGTCAAGGCACATGCCCAGGGTTTTGGGCTCGATCCCCAGTGTGGGGTGTGCAGAAGGCAGCCGATCCATGATTCTCTCTCATCATTGGTGTTTCTCTCTCCCTTCCCCTCTCCCTTCCTCTCTGAAATAAAAAAATATATTATTTTTTTAAAAAAAGGAAAGAAGCCGAAACCGGTTTGGCTCGGTGGATAGAGCATCGGCCTGCGGAATCAAGAGTCCCAGGTTTGATTCCGGTCAAGGGCATGTACCTTGGTTGCGGGCATATCCCCGGTAGGAGATGTGCAGGAGGTAGCCGAGAGATGTTTCTCTCTCATCGATGTTTCTAACTCT